ATATATATATATATATATATATATATATATATATATATATATATATATATATATATATATATATATATATATATATATACAAAAGCACACACCTTTAATATGCGTAAAGTGTTAAAGGTGTGTGTTTTGGAGGAAAAGGGGAAAATTGTCTTGTTTTTTGAGAGAAAGAAAAAAGCATACAAAAAAGTTCTAGAGTGTAATAATTGTTAAAAGCCAATGAGCATAGTACGGTAACAAAGAAGCTTTCATAGTCTCGGGACTGAAAGCAAAAACATCAGTTAATACAAGAACGGTAACAAAGTGACAGTTGGAAAAGACTTGACGACCTAACATATCCTCACTTCTTATCTTATGGACAAATCGATATAAAATCAATTAAAGAAACAAAAATTTAAAATATTTAATTTAGTATTGTGAGTTAACCTGAAAATAAAGTTTTTACGTGGGTATTTTAACTAAGCGCTATATTGGTGACGAATGGTGTCAATTTTAGAAGTCTCTAAACTTTTAAATAGTGTAAAAAGAATTTGTTAAAAATAGAGACAAAATCTGCAACCAATTCAAAAATAAAAAATGTTTCTATTCATTCACCGGTTTCGATTTGTGTGTTTGATGACGCTGTATCTTTCTTTTCAATTTAAGAAATATCAGTTTAAATAAATATATCCAACAAAACTTCACGATGTGATGAAACTTGGGATGAAATTCATCTTGACATTTCACTAACAAAAGAAATTGTGATGTCATATTAAGACTTGAATTATTTAGGTTTCTCAATATCAGAAACGATTTCATGCCCGATTACTTTAATCTGGCTTCATTGAATTTGCGGATCTGCGTCAAATTACCCTTATAAATTTAAAACTATATTTGATTGGTTGATTTATTTTTGTTTTTTTTTTGCATTTTTTTGCATCTCACTTGAAAACATATGTTTTAATAAACAGCTTTCCATGCCCCTTAATCCAAGCTTAATTGTATTTGTAAAAGATAATAACCACTTGTTGCTCTAATTTAAATAATTCAGTTTTAAGTAAAACTTTAATGTAACACAACGCAGCATGACTAAACCGGTTTAAATGGGTAAGAAATAATACAAACATGTTTCTCAACCGCTTATTATAATCGTAACACTAATGTAGGATGACCACTTTGCCCTTTCTCTTTTAAGTGTTAAGTTATAATATATATGTGCTAGCCTAAGATACATTTAAGAGGGTGAATGTTTTGAAATGCAATTAAAAATTCTATAATTAATATTGGTATTTAAAATTCAATATAAGTGTTTTTAAATGTTAAAACACTACTCTTGAACAGCTATTCTTATTTGCCCTACATACATATGGATGGTTAAACTCTTTGAACTGATCATTCTGATATTAGGAACATCGTTCTGATCAATTCAGAGAGTTTAACCATTTTTTGGTAACTAAAATGACATTTAATAAGCCATTTGACACCTGATTAGTTAATTTCTACGATGTTTCAGAAACCAGGCGTAAGGTTTAAGATATGTGGCGAAGTCCTAAACTTGTAGACATTTATATAATAAATACCACGGAAACTGCGCTATGGTTAAACATTTCGGAATGGACGGACACTCGGACACAAACTGACCACTGACGGACCAATGAAATTGTTTATTTTAGTTTTGTAAGTATTTTAATACTAATGTAATGAATTAAAATACAATGCAAAAGACATGTGCATAAAGTTATTTCGATGTTATCGTCTATGATGGAAAGGAAAACATTTTATACAATGGATTAACGTATGTATTTTTGTTTAATTTTATAGCATTAAAGAATATCACGATTGTATAATTAAGAAACAACTCTTAGGTTACTTTTTCTACGTGGTCGTAATTCAGGTACTTAGGTATGTATACTTGATATTTATTTATTTATAATATCAATACTATCGCATTGGTTAGAGGTCGAGAAAGCGAAGTCATGTATCTTTATGGCTTCATGTGGCATACATTTTTAAATTCTGACGTAATACACTAGAAGATAAAATTTTTGATTCGTTACCAAATACTCTGCATAGGAAAGGCGACATTGCAAAATGTTACGAGAAATTCAAAATGATGAATATAACTTTAGTTAATAATATTAAAAATAAGTTATGACGATGTGGGTGATAAAATTATTTTGCCCTCAAAAGTTCAATTTTCCATAATTCCTAACTATTTTCATTCTACGGCATTATGATGTAATGAGGTCCGCTTTGTTTGCCTTGTAGGAATAACGATTAAATATTTCTAATGAATTTGAGCTATTTGGAACTCGAAAAAGCTAAGTAGGAAATGCAAAATTTTATTTAAGAACGGGAATTAATCTTCTAAATTTCTAAATTTCTGCATAAATTTCAATGACCGTATTATTTAAGAACAGGAAACGGCTAATGGTTGTTGGAAATATCTTTTAAGTTTTTTTAAATATCTTTCTTAAACACTGACAAATCTTATATATAAAAATGGATTGCTGTTCGTTAGTCTCGCTAAAACTAGAGAACGACTGGACCGATTTGACTAATTTTTGTTTTGAAATATTTTGTGACGGTCCAGGGAAGGTTTGATGAGCAATTATGAAAAAATCGAAATAGCTACAATTTTATTTTTCCATACAAACTGTACCTGTTAACCTGTCAACTATGTTTGTATGCGTCCGTGCCGAAAATTCTTATTCCATGTGTTTAGATTGACAAATTCCCTAGAATCGGCTCCGTCCGTATGCTACATTTTATATCGTGCTTACAAAGTATCCTATAGCCTTTCTCAAAAAATGGGCTATCTAACAGGGCATGAATTTTCAAATCGGACCAGTAGTCTCGAGAGCGAGTTCAAACAAACAAAATCTTCAGTTTTATAATATTAGTATGGATAATCCTCTTATTTGTGGCTGATCCATTACTACTAAAAGTACTTTCTAGTGCGGTTCAGATCCATATGGCCCGCTGCTTTCCCTGGTTCTTGGCTCATTTCGTGTTTAGTAGATCCAGGGGCGAATCGACCCTAAAAAGTTGTGTTGGAGGTCATTCTAATAGTACAAAAAAAATTATAGTATAAGTTTGGTCATTTTATAATATTATGATTTTAGTTCGTTCGATGATATAGTTAGGGTTCCGTACTTAAACGGGTACTACGGCACCCCATCACTAAGACTCCGCTGTCTGTCTGACCGTCTGTGCTGTCACCAGGTTGTATCTTATGAACCGTGATAGTAAGACAGTTGAAATTAAAGTTGAATATTTAAGTTCGGCTCCAATATAACAGGCAAGATTTTCTTGCCGGTATCATATGTAGATAATATAAATAAATAAAATAATAAATAATAAATATTTAGGACACATTTTTTTACACAACGTTCTCTAGTCCCAAACAAAGCAACGTTTGTACTGTGGGTACTAGAAAACTGATAGACATACTTAAACATACTTTTCTTTTGCAAATAAATACACATTATACATATATACCCAGACACTAGAAAACACTATGCTCATCACACAATATTTTTCCAGAAGTGGGGATCGAACCCACACAGGTACACTACCGACTACGCCATTCGGGTCGTCGCGAAGGTTTCCGTAATGGTACGGAAACCTTCAAGCGAGTCCGCCTCGCACTTTTTTTTACTTTATAGAAACTTACAATCATCATCACTTTCAGCTGTAGCTAATGTACTTAATTATAATTTTATCGCACAAATCTTCAATATGGTTATATAAGTTGATATAACTTTTTAATTATGAACCAATTTAAATAAAACTAACACTAAACGTTAAGCGAAAAAGCTTACTACAAATGCTTAGGGTTCTATTGCGTTTATTAAGGCCCCCAATAATATTATTTCTCAATTTTTTTCCATGTGCAGACAACGATTAGTTAAATTTTTATTATATGTATGGATAATGAAGCATGTTTAACGTGGTTTTTGATTATTGGCTAGAATCAAATAAAAAAGACGGACAGATTGTAGATATGTTTTATTGATAAGTAAACCTATATTGTTTATTGATGTGACTTATTTGACTGAACTTCTAATATTAATATGATTTATTTAAGTTAAAAGCTTTTTAATAACCCGTATCAGAATTGAGAATTTAATATTAAATCGACTTATTTTTTTTAGTTAGTATGTATTAATTATTATTAATTTAAATTGTAATATTTTCAAAGTAATAATATAACTTAAATAATAATTGAAATTGACAAGACACTAAAGAATCCACTCAAAATTTCGATTTTGCCGTTATACATTTATGTTTTCAAAAATTAGCATTTTTTAAAAAAGTCGCTTTTTGCTGATTTCGGAATCACCTGTCAAAACCTACTGGTATTAGCATATTATGTAATTTAACGGAAACATAACCGATGGTAATGCCCTATTCAAAATCTTAAGCAAGTTACAAATTTTGATGACGTTTTGAGAACTCGGTCTGTATATAAAATTGGAGCCGTTTCTTAATTTTACACAGACGTTCCACGGCGCCAAAGCCACTAACTTGTTCCTTGGCACCATGAATTCTCTAGTAAGTATTCTTGAAAAGGATTATTGATGTTTTAAGTTATTCTTATAGAAGCGTAAGATATACAACATTTAAATTCACTAACAAATTAGTAATTAAATGAATTATATTGCCTTAAATATATCAATTTTATCATAATTTTTGTAAAACTAATACATTGACCAGATCTATGTCATCTTCTGCCTGCCATCGGCTTTAAGCTAACGCAAATCTCCTTATCCACTTCATCCTCTCATCGCTTATTTAGGACGGTCCCAAGTATCAAATCGGGAACTTAACAGCTCGATCTAAGTTCTATTCTCACTAAATGATCGACATGTCTCAAATATTTAAAGTTATAAAATTTTCAATGGTATTAAATTTTATAGGTAAAGATTTCTACTGCTAAATTTGCGTGTACTCATAAGTATAATGTACGGGCATGTTTATTTATGTGTATGTATTTATTTCAGATATGGTTTATGATTGCGATGCTCTCCATTACGGTAGCGCAATCGAGACGATTAGATACTGGACCACAAACATTTGATGACAGAAGTCCAGCAACGCAAAAATCTCAAAAGAGATATGTAGCTGAAGAAGTTGTAGTATATTTAACACCCGATCAAATAAAAGCAATTCAAGAAGGTAAAGGATTCATAGATTCTAATCCAGCAGACGCAGCAGAGATATCTGTAGAAAATCAAGAAGAGTCTGAACAATCGGAGGAAGATGAAAGTTCTCAAATAGAACCAGCTGAATTAAATTCTCAAACATTAGAAGAGGAAGAGGATGAAGTTGCCACAAATCCTGATGAAGAAGCCAATTCAGAAGAAATCGGAGATGATGCCCAACTTTCTTGGCTAAACAGATATTTGAACAGTTATCTTGAAACTGAAAGACAGTCAGAAGAAGTTCAAGCCGAATCTGAAGAAAATGAAGAGGAAGCTGTAGAGGAAGCTGTAGAAGAACCACAGGAAGATCAACCCGAAACTACGCAACAACAGAGATTTAAACTCATTCCATTCGAAGCTACTAGTGAGAAGAGCACACCAAGCACAACTAAAACACTTCCAAACGAACCAATTAGAGAACGCTTGCTACGTTTATTGGAACAAAATCATATCATACTGAAGAGCGCGTTGTCTGAAGAAGATCAAGCGGCTAAAAATACGACCACCATCGCTAGTACAGAACAATCACGAGTAAAACCAGAGACTACATTGGCTAAATTGCGTTATTCAGCCAAATATAGAGTTCAAAATAAATCAAATACTAATAAGGATCAACGTAAAAAGAATAGTTCAGGGAAACAAAAGATTGTCATTAGTGAAGTTCGAGCTCGAAATGTATCTAACATAGTTCGCAAAGCCAACAGACAGCAGAAGTGGTCTATTAAAGCAGAGCCTTTGGATTTAAAAGCTTCCCGCCCTTACACTGCGCCTCTGAAGGTTTTAAAGTCAGTTACAGCACAAGCAGTAAAAACGGGCAACAAGGACGTAGAAGCGAAACAATCAGCGGCTCCAGCTCGTGCAGTAGGAATTAAACCAAAAGCTTCATCACCAAAAAAATCCTCTGCTAATGTCGCCGATACATATGTGGTGGAAAGTCGTACGCCTACCGAAACTGAGAGGCAAGGTGCTCCGGAAATTCAATCACGTCAGAAAGGCAAACCAGAGAGATTAACTATTATTCGACATGTGTTTGAGAATTAATTTAGGTAGCAATATTTTTTATTTTTGTTAAAACTGTTGTGTGTTTAATTTGTATGAATGAATTCATGGTGATGTCTGTTATTTCATTATAAGATGTTTTTTTAAATACCTACGTGATTTTTTTTATTTCGTTTCTATTATTCAGTTAATGAGCGGGAATGTATTGTAAAGTTTCAAGATTGTACAACTGTCTCACAAGTATGACTGCTTGCACATATTAGAATATAACTTTAACCTTACTATTAATTATTTGTTGTTTATGTACCTTACATTCAACTTAGATTTATACACCAGTATGAACATGGGTGTACAAGTTAGTAATTATAATATGAATAGTAAGAAAGCATTGACGGAATCCCTCAGAGTGCCTGTCACTGTGTAGTGGGCAAACACGTGTGAATTTGATTTTTGCCATAACAATTTTTTTTTTTGATTAATAAGTGGTTCGCGTCACGATCATTTACATTCCAGATCATTGCTTTCTTTATTTTTAATTTTTTGTCGATTTGTTATTTTGTAATTTTTTTCCCTTTTTTTAAGTTATTTCTTTTGTGAAAAACATCAGTTCCTATTTTCTTATAGATCGAAAAATATTATGCATATTTCATTACTCAGTAATTTGTATCATAAAAAAAAAACAAAACGAGCAAAGCTCGGTCCTCCGGGTACTTTATTCAATATGCCGAAGCTAGACTAAACAATGTATCAGTAAACATAGATATATTCGTGTTTATATAGGTACGTGAGAAGCATACCGAATATTAGAACGGGCTGTTACGGCTACGGATCAGTAATGTGGTGAACAAGTATTATTCAAAATAGAGCTTTAGTAGCATTAAAAACTTATTCAGGCAAACTATGGGATCCAGTATAGAAGTGAAGTATGTTTATAATAAGATACAGATTGTTCTTAAAACAATTGAAGGATGCATAGGCGTTCACTACAAACATATCTTGCAACGGCAATATATTGCTAACATATAATTTTGTATTACCACATAATTAACAATACACAGGTATTTTAAAATAACGAAAATAGGCAAATTTTTTCATACACTCTCACATTTCCTACCGATTTATAGTGACTTTCACGCGTTGATCGTTGTATTTATTTTGAATATTTAATTAAATGGGGACACAAGTTTATGTATTCAAAAGATAAATTTCAAATTGAAAATAAAATGCTTTTTAATATTATCTATTGGTATAAATATTAAAAAATGTTGATAAAATAAATTCAGCTTGGAGTCGCTGTAGACTCATAATGTAGCGAACACATGAACTTGCGAGATCGTTATCGGTTATATTAAGTTTCCGTATTTCAGCTTAACGAATTAAAATGGTGGGTAAAGTTTAAATAGAAGATTTTATTAGTTAAAATAGAAAATAAATTTGGTTATTAATACATATTCAGATTAACATTCATAACCATTAAAAATAGTCCACTGCTCTTAAACTTCACTACAATTAGAAAGTTTGGATATACATTGGATAAACATAAATATGGATGTGTATGAATATCAATAGTTTTTAACTACATACCTGACTGAAGCCTTTGAATTAACGTACGCCTACCGAAACTGAGAGGCAAGGTGCTCCGGAAATTCAATCACGTCAGAAAGGCAAACCAGAGAGATTAACTATTATTCGACATGTGTTTGAGAATTAATTTAGGTAGCAATATTTTTTATTTTTGTTAAAACTGTTGTGTGTTTAATTTGTATGAATGAATTCATGGTGATGTCTGTTATTTCATTATAAGATGTTTTTTTAAATACCTACGTGATTTTTTTATTTCGTTTCTATTATTCAGTTAATGAGCGGGAATGTATTGTAAAGTTTCAAGATTGTACAACTGTCTCACAAGTATGACTGCTTGCACATATTAGAATATAACTTTAACCTTACTATTAATTATTTGTTGTTTATGTACCTTACATTCAACTTAGATTTATACACCAGTATGAACATGGGTGTACAAGTTAGTAATTATAATATGAATAGTAAGAAAGCATTGACGGAATCCCTCAGAGTGCCTGTCACTGTGTAGTGGGCAAACACGTGTGAATTTGATTTTTGCCATAACAATTTTTTTTTTTTGATTAATAAGTGGTTCGCGTCACGATCATTTACATTCCAGATCATTGCTTTCTTTATTTTTAATTTTTTGTCGATTTGTTATTTTGTAATTTTTTTCCCTTTTTTTAAGTTATTTCTTTTGTGAAAAACATCAGTTCCTATTTTCTTATAGATCGAAAAATATTATGCATATTTCATTACTCAGTAATTTGTATCATAAAAAAAAAACAAAACGAGCAAAGCTCGGTCCTCCGGGTACTTTATTCAATATGCCGAAGCTAGACTAAACAATGTATCAGTAAACATAGATATATTCGTGTTTATATAGGTACGTGAGAAGCATACCGAATATTAGAACGGCTGTTACGGCTACGGATCAGTAATGTGGTGAACAAGTATTATTCAAAATAGAGCTTTAGTAGCATTAAAAACTTATTCAGGCAAACTATGGGATCCAGTATAGAAGTGAAGTATGTTTATAATAAGATACAGATTGTTCTTAAAACAATTGAAGGATGCATAGGCGTTCACTACAAACATATCTTGCAACGGCAATATATTGCTAACATATAATTTTGTATTACCACATAATTAACAATACACAGGTATTTTAAAATAACGAAAATAGGCAAATTTTTTCATACACTCTCACATTTCCTACCGATTTATAGTGACTTTCACGCGTTGATCGTTGTATTTATTTTGAATATTTAATTAAATGGGGACACAAGTTTATGTATTCAAAAGATAAATTTCAAATTGAAAATAAAATGCTTTTTAATATTATCTATTGGTATAAATATTAAAAAATGTTGATAAAATAAATTCAGCTTGGAGTCGCTGTAGACTCATAATGTAGCGAACACATGAACTTGCGAGATCGTTATCGGTTATATTAAGTTTCCGTATTTCAGCTTAACGAATTAAAATGGTGGGTAAAGTTTAAATAGAAGATTTTATTAGTTAAAATAGAAAATAAATTTGGTTATTAATACATATTCAGATTAACATTCATAACCATTAAAAATAGTCCACTGCTCTTAAACTTCACTACAATTAGAAAGTTTGGATATACATTGGATAAACATAAATATGGATGTGTATGAATATCAATAGTTTTTAACTACATACCTGACTGAAGCCTTTGAATTAACGTACGCCTACCGAAACTGAGAGGCAAGGTGCTCCGGAAATTCAATCACGTCAGAAAGGCAAACCAGAGAGATTAACTATTATTCGACATGTGTTTGAGAATTAATTTAGGTAGCAATATTTTTTATTTTTGTTAAAAACTGTTGTGTGTTTAATTTGTATGAATGAATTCATGGTGATGTCTGTTATTTCATTATAAGATGTTTTTTTAAATACCTACGTGATTTTTTTATTTCGTTTCTATTATTCAGTTAATGAGCGGGAATGTATTGTAAAGTTTCAAGATTGTACAACTGTCTCACAAGTATGACTGCTTGCACATATTAGAATATAACTTTAACCTTACTATTAATTATTTGTTGTTTATGTACCTTACATTCAACTTAGATTTATACACCAGTATGAACATGGGTGTACAAGTTAGTAATTATAATATGAATAGTAAGAAAGCATTGACGGAATCCCTCAGAGTGCCTGTCACTGTGTAGTGGGCAAACACGTGTGAATTTGATTTTTGCCATAACAATTTTTTTTTTTTGATTAATAAGTGGTTCGCGTCACGATCATTTACATTCCAGATCATTGCTTTCTTTATTTTTAATTTTTTGTCGATTTGTTATTTTGTAATTTTTTTCCCTTTTTTTAAGTTATTTCTTTTGTGAAAAACATCAGTTCCTATTTTCTTATAGATCGAAAAATATTATGCATATTTCATTACTCAGTAATTTGTATCATAAAAAAAAAACAAAACGAGCAAAGCTCGGTCCTCCGGGTACTTTATTCAATATGCCGAAGCTAGACTAAACAATGTATCAGTAAACATAGATATATTCGTGTTTATATAGGTACGTGAGAAGCATACCGAATATTAGAACGGCTGTTACGGCTACGGATCAGTAATGTGGTGAACAAGTATTATTCAAAATAGAGCTTTAGTAGCATTAAAAACTTATTCAGGCAAACTATGGGATCCAGTATAGAAGTGAAGTATGTTTATAATAAGATACAGATTGTTCTTAAAACAATTGAAGGATGCATAGGCGTTCACTACAAACATATCTTGCAACGGCAATATATTGCTAACATATAATTTTGTATTACCACATAATTAACAATACACAGGTATTTTAAAATAACGAAAATAGGCAAATTCTTTCATACACTCTCACATTTCCTACCGATTTATAGTGACTTTCACGCGTTGATCGTTGTATTTATTTTGAATATTTAATTAAATGGGGACACAAGTTTATGTATTCAAAAGATAAATTTCAAATTGAAAATAAAATGCTTTTTAATATTATCTATTGGTATAAATATTAAAAATGTTGATAAAATAAATTCAGCTTGGAGTCGCTGTAGACTCATAATGTAGCGAACACATGAACTTGCGAGATCGTTATCGGTTATATTAAGTTTCCGTATTTCAGCTTAACGAATTAAAATGGTGGGTAAAGTTTAAATAGAAGATTTTATTAGTTAAAATAGAAAATAAATTTGGTTATTAATACATATTCAGATTAACATTCATAACCATTAAAAATAGTCCACTGCTCTTAAACTTCACTACAATTAGAAAGTTTGGATATACATTGGATAAACATAAATATGGATGTGTATGAATATCAATAGTTTTTAACTACATACCTGACTGAAGCCTTTGAATTAACGTACGCCTACCGAAACTGAGAGGCAAGGTGCTCCGGAAATTCAATCACGTCAGAAAGGCAAACCAGAGAGATTAACTATTATTCGACATGTGTTTG